ACATAAAAACATCCCCATATCACCCCCAGGGAAATGCTAAAGTGGAAAGGTTTCATAGAACCTTGGGAGATGTATTATTAAGTTGGTCAGAAAACACTGGAAATTGGGACTTGTATTTGACGCAGGCTCTGGCGGCCGTGAGGTTTACGATAAAACGAAACCTCCAGATTTTCTCCTTATTTTTTGTTGTTTGGCAGAGACGTGGTCCTGCCTGTAGATAACCTACTGAAGCCCCTGAAGAAGGTATGGGGAGAAGATCATCATCAACTATTGCTGGAACAGCAACATAAGATATTCGTACAGGCCAGAAGAAGAATAAAGAGGCCCAGAAAGAAATGAGAGGGTGAATGCTGAAAGAAAGGTGGTAGAATTGAAGGTTGGAGACCCCTGTCTACATGGGATCCACCAGAGGGAAGGAAAACTGGACCAGAGATGGGAACCGTACTACCGGATAGTAGAGCAGATGGGCCCAGTATCATATGTAATATGGGATCAAGTGGCAGGACAGGCGAGGAGGGTTCATGCCAATGATCTGAAGAAGGCTGAAATAACTAACCTAAATGAGCGAGCCGAGGCCTAAGAAGACAAGGAAAAGGAAGGTAACTCTGGTTGAACCGGAAGGAATGGAGACGGAGGAAGACTCCGAAGAAGATGAGAGATAGGGTCAACTTGACCAGATAAACGAAGCAGTCCGAGTGACAGAGTTGGAACCCTCAGCAGGGGATTAGCGATGTTCAGTCGTCGACTGAATCAGTGCAGAGAAGACCCCGTGAGACCGCCATCACATCCCCATGTCCGAAGAAAAGGAAGAAAAGACGAAGAGGTCCAATCAAGCAGTCGAAGGCTCTAAAAAGAGGCACCCTGAACAGGACGAAGGGCCCAGCGAGTGGGGGAGGAGGATCGATACCCCTTTCCCAGCTTAGGGAAAGGATAAGGAACAGGGAGAAGTTTAGACATAGAGTCGAGAGGTATTGAAGACATTCAAGGTGAAGACTCTAAACAGGAAGAAGAATCAGGGATGAAGAGGGACCAAAAACCTCCTGGACGGAGTTAAACACAGAAAAAAAGAAGGGTGGAGGTTGAGCAGGAATCACCTCGGAAGATGAGATCAGGGGGAGGGAGAAGAACCCCAAATCTCAGTAGAACAAAGGGCTGTGCAGAATAGAAGCATTTACGAAGTCGACAGATAACGACACTGGCTCATCCAAAATCCTATTGGCTGACTATGGTAGATATGGAGTGGAGGGAATGGAGTCATGGGCTGCACCTCACAAAAGGGACGGAAGAAGATCATTGGCATTGTTGATTGATCACCAGTGGTGTCATGAAGTACGACCTTTAGAGTGGGGCGCCACGCACACCTGACCAGACCATTCTGTCTGCTAGGGGGTTAGTTAGAGGAGGGAAGAGCCAGTTAAAGAGAAAAAGTTGTGAAATGATTGAGTGATGAGTCGAGCGAGACTAAGTGATTGTGAAGAATAACAACAAGAGAATTTGTTACCTTTCAGGAATGATAGCAAGGTACAAGGTGGAAGCAGACTACATAGCATTAAATTCGGGGAGAACGAAATTCATGTTGCTGTCAGCTGAAGAAGCTAGAAGGTGTAGAGATGATACCCTGGGGACTTGTACCTCGTTAAGCCCTATCTATAAAACTGGTAAACTGCAAACTGTGCATACTAGAATTGTTTGAAGGGAGAGGGGAAGGAATCAAAAGAATCTGCCAAGTAAAGGTATTAACAAACTCGGCATTACTAACAAGCTATCAGTGTTTCAGACAGGGGTGTGGGCAGTAGCCACACAGAAAACATATCAGCCTGTCTGGGGGTATGTGGGGGGAGTCCACAAGGACATTAGAATAAGGCCACCGTTATCCTGGTGTCGCTACCCATGGGATGTTCATGGTTAGTGTCCATCTCCTTGCCCCTATTACCAGATGGAAGAAAGGTATGAAGAAAAAGATTCACTCATAGAGATGATTGGTAGAGGCAGTCAATTGTACAGAATTATGGGGGGCCGATAGTAAAGAGATTTCTAATGACACCAAGAATAAGATGCCAGTATTAATGAAGCCATAGAAAAGATCGATATATGGATCACTTAAGGGGATGTTAAGTGCGTTGGGAGACGAAGGTGTAGCTTGGGAAGACGATGAGCAGATCGCGATAAGTTGGTCAATAGTGATGGGTACATTCCTAGTTATAGCCATCGGGGTGTAATAATATGGAAGATTAAGAGTAAGAAGATTAGCGAACGACAGTCTAGTGAGCATGCAACAACTCGAGAGGGAGATGCCGAAAGGTGTTTCCTCACTCAGACAGGACTGGCGAAGAAATTGCTGGAAGACCAATGGAGGAGGCTGGCGTGAGACCACCACGTGCAGGCGAAAAAACCTCCCACAGCAGAGAGGAAAACATTGACCAAGAAGAACAAACCCTAGTGAACACATCTGCACCTACAAACACACATTACCTTGCATGTAAAACAAAAAGAAAATGAAAAAGCATTTCATTGCATGTAGAACAGAAGAAAATGAAAAGAACATTTCATTGCATGTAGAACAGAAGAAAATGAAAAGAACATTTCATTGCATGTAGAACAGAAGAAAATGAAAAAAGAACATTACATTGCATGTAGAACAAAAGAAAATGAAAAAAACATTTCATTGCATGTAGAACAGAAGAAAATGAAAAGAACATTTCATTGCATGTAGAACAGAAGAAAATGAAAGGAACATTACATTGCCTGTAGAACAAAAAAAATGAAAAGAACATTTCATTGCATGTAGAACAAAAGAAAAATGAAAAGAACATTTCATTGCATGTAGAACAAAAGAAAATGGAAAAACATTACCCTTGCATGTTAGAAAGTAGAATAGAAGTGCATGAGACAAATGCATGGTGCATGTTAAATGATGTAATTGGGTCTAGGTGTCATTTTACGGGTAAATGACAAATCTGATGGGGAGGATTGTGGCACCTTGCATTATTAGAAATATTCATAGAAATATGATTTAATTTTTTTTCTTACTCGGTTACTAAACAGGTTGTTAATTTTTTTTTAAACGGAAAATAACTGAGTTGAAAATAATTCACTAAGAGGTACTAGACGATCCTAAGGAAGAAGAAGGAAAGAAAAGGAAAAAGGAAGGAAGGGAAGAAAAAAAAAGAAAGAAAGAAATGTATGATGCATGACCCAATTGAGGGGTGGAGATAGGAGTCAGAAAGAGATTTAGGTCAGCGTCTTGGCCGATTTTCGAAAAGTCATTTGGTAAGAATGTCGGTCAGAGCACCTCCAGCCTACTTTTTGCATGGAAAGACACTTATCAATTTGGATAAAGAGAAATTTTGGGAACAATGAAACAATTTTTAATCAGGGAAAAAAAGTGTCTTTGGGTTGAGGGGGAGTGACCGGTGGAACGATATACAGACCTGTTAAGATGTTCAAACTCAAATGTTGGCAGTGACATTTTATTCCGATATAACAAATGCAATGTCAATTGCCATCTTCTATCAGATCCGTTACATTTCACTTCTGTGCTAAAACCCTTGGAAAAGGTATGAATCCTCTACTTCTTATCCTGCTCTGGGTAAACCAGTCTAGGAAAAGGAAAAACTCTGAATTCAAAACTGGCCTCAGCTCAGTCAGGCTATAGGGATCCTTTCTCATTAGTTAACGTACTTAGAGAGCACTTCTCCTGCTTCTCCTATCTTTTTGAACCCTGTTCATCTTTTATCCTTTTCTCAGTCCCCTCTATACCAAGCCTTTTCTTTCATTCTCTCACCTTCATTCTCTATAATCCCCATGCTTGCTTGTGGCATTTTCGCCTTGCTTGGGGTGAAATGTTTAAAAAAAAAATTCTTTCTTAATTATTAGATGAATTGTTAGGAAAGGAAAAACACATACAAAATATTTAAAGGTCAATAACTTGTAGAAGGATATCTAGATAGTGTAGTGCCTATTTTTTTGTTATTTTTTTTCTTTTTTTAATTGGTATCACCCCATGCAAAGCAGTAAAGCCACTAAAAAACAAGGGGTTATAGGGTGTGGAAGAATTAGAAATAGAAACATTAATAATGAGTAGGAAGAGGAAAGAGTAATCAGGAGGACAGTAGATAGCGATTGTCATTGCATTTAAATTTTTGTAGATTAAAGTTGGCTGGAAAGCATGGAGCCAGAAGGGAGTCCCACAAGAGAGAAATGAGAGAAAAGAAACTGTTAGCATAGAAGTTATGGTTACATCTAGCCTACTCAACTGTAAATTGATGAGATCTTGCTGCCAGTCTAGTACTGCGCTTAAATTCAAAAAGTCTAGGTATCATAGCAAAGAGCTCATCCAAACAACATGAAAGTATTTATAGAAAAGACACAGAGAGGCAACCTTATTGCAATGGGAAAGTGATTGAAAGCAAGCAGCCAGATTAGGACTAATAATGTTGCTGATTCTTCTTTGTTATGCAAAGTGAAATCTGCAAACTAAATTCAAATTCCTGGCTAGTCTGTTGCATTCACACAAATGCCCATGGGAAAGGCGTGAAACCATATCTTATCCTGTTAGCTATGGGTTAAATAGCAGGGTGGCAACCAGTCTAAGAGAAGAAAAAATCTGAATTCCAAACTGGAGAAGGCAACAGTAAACCACTCCACTATCTTTCCCAAGAATGCATGAGAATTTACAAAAAAAGGAAAAGGAATCTGGAAAATCACAAATGCCTACATCCTGAAGGGCTGCAGTATTTAAGATTTAAAAAATTTCTAGGAAACAACTCATCACATCTTTTGTGTTATCTTTTTCTTTGTAATAAGAATTGAAAAGCAGAAAAAAATTTTTTAAAGTACATTTGTTTTTAAGGTAAGTTACATTTTTTTTAAAGTTGCTAATCAAACTGATGGATTTTTTTTTAAGTTGTGAATTCATGTATTTGTTCGTCTTTTTTAAATCATTTCAGAGAGAGCTTGCCAGACAAACTCATGAAATTATCAAATATTACTGTGGCTGCATGGAAGCTGATGGCTTCCCCGTTCTTCGTTGTGCTCTCTGTATTGGGGGAATGCCAGTCAAAGATCAAATTGAACTTATCAAAAGGTAACCATCTGAAATTTCTTATATATCTATATTAAAAATCACATCTGAATATGAATATACTTTTAATACACTGAATACACTTTTAATTGATGTCATCAGCTGGTTCTGATGTAGGTTGAGAGATAGTTTTGTTTTTCACTCTCTCTCTCTCTCTCTTTTTAATGAAGCTATTTTAGATCACAACCCATGATTGTTGAATGTTCCACATCTTGAATGTCTCAACAGTAACAATTGAATGTCATGTAACTTTAGACAGTCTGCTTGTTGATGTGAATTGTTGTAATGTCATTTATTCCATTAGTCATCATCTCCTGTTGTTATCATGCTTGAACAGTCTAAGTGCTGAAGCATACTACAATTGACAGAATCTACTTTTGTTGTATTTCCCCATACTTTGAAACTTTCCCCACCAAAATTGGGTTAAAATTTAATTGTGTATATCAAGTTAGTGAGACTGATACACTAAAAACACTAGATACACTAAGACAACTAGAATGAAACGTCCATCCATAATAATTGCATAATGATACAAAGCAAAAATAATAATAATGAAATAACCAAATTTCTGAGATAAAGCATGACCATTATTATACAATGATTTATTCGAATCCGTATTCTTCTCTTGGTTCTCATTGCCATAATGTTTCAGACAGTGTACCTTTCAGACTTCAGGGAGGTGGTAGCATCTGTTAGGGTCCAAGCTATGAGCAAATAGTTAATCTCTAAACTGGGGTTAAAACACTATGAAAGTATAAAAATAGATGTTTATAGTAAATTAACAGCAATACATTTTTGGAGAAAAAAAAATCAATGGCAATAAATTTAACTCTTGACAAAATCCCTCTTTACAAAAATGTCAATGAAACCTGATCTACAAACTGATTTCTTACAAAGAATACATATTCTATTTATACGAACATATCCTAAAAATCTTGTTAGCATTAAATAACCCATTGAGGTGTTGATATGCCATAAAACAAAATAAACCAAACCAAATAAACCAGTCTTCAGGTGACTGTTGTAACCTGCAAATTTCAAACAAAATCCTTTATTAAATTAACAAAACAAAGTAGATTGTTTTCACTCACAATTAACTTGGAAGAATTAAATGATACGAGATATCCTCAGCTTGCACAACAGAATCATAATTTGAACAGTATTTCTCTGATTGAACAAAATGTAAAGGGTTCAGTTTAAAATTCTTGCATATAAATTTAAATAAATTGATGTCTAATAATGTAATATCTTGACTGAAATCAGAAAATTACAGGTGATAACTTCATAAAAATCAACATTTATCTCTGAATATTTCTTGTTTAATTACTTTTTAGCTCCCTTTAAAACAAGAAGATAAGCAATCTGTATCTTCTACAGGTTGGTACAAAAATCTTGAGTTTAAAACTTTGTTATTTTTATCATCTTTGGATTAACAAGTTTCCTTCTTACACAAACAGGAGACACAGTGGTATTGTATCAGGAAGTTTCTTGGTGGAGTTGGTCAAAATGGTCATCAAATTAATTGTACAGGAAAACTGACAATTTCAAAAATGATATAAAAATAAAATAAAAGTATAAAAAATCACTATATTATTCAAACAGTTATAAATATTGAATTAATCCTCCCCTGGGTGACGTACTCTGTCTTAAGCTATGGTTGGTTGGTTAAATTTTTAAGGTGTTATCCTTCACAAGAATGTAGAACCAATAAATTATCTGTATCCAATATACACTGTTATCAAAATCTTGTTTTGGAGTGGGGGTTAATAAAGCAGATTAGTTTGCCATTCTAAATGTCCCCTACAAAACCCGTGGGTGCATTATTATGTGCTAGTATCCAGTATGTGTGGGCTTACAGCCACATCATGTTGAAACATCAGTTCGTGTATGATCAGCAAAGTTAAGCAAGGTCACTACCTAGATGAGTGACCACTAGGGAATACCAGGTGCTGTAAGCTTAGATGTGTGGGTGGTGTAATGTATAATGGCTCGGAATTGTTAATCAGAGAAACAAGTTCCAATTTCTGTTGGGTTTGTTACTTCTGCACAAATATCCTTTGAGAAAGATATGAATCCACTGCTTCTCCCCTAGCTATGAATTAATTAGTAAGACATTTATCACTAAACCATTATGTCAAAAACAAAAATTTTTACAATCTAAAAAAAAAAGAATTTCCTGGCTTTAAATAACCTGTGTTGATAAGCCATAAAAAATGAATCAATCAGTGTGAGAGAGAGCATCTGTTTGTACGGTATACAAATTCACTTTTGTTTTATTGTAAATGTTCCTTCTCCCAATATAAAGGGAAACCTATATGGAGTGAGTAGCCATGGTTAAATGCAAAAATAAGTAACAGAACTGACTAACAAACAGAATTGACAAAGTTTGCAATAAATAAGAAAAAGAAAAGAACAGGGCAAAAATAATATAAAGCAAGCAAATAATATATGCAAGGCAACACAACAGTAATATGGCAAAAATTTCACAAACTAAGAATTGGAGTTGACACATAAGAGCAAGATCAAACATAATATTCTGACTTCAAGACAAGACAGACTGGGACTGAGCCAGATAAAAACAAGAACTGGCCAATTTTATTAGCTATGAAAAAATCCTAGCATGCATTTGTGTGCTTCTGTCTATAAATTGGGGAGGAGCAAGTGTCTTGCAGTCATACCACAGAAGATTGGAATCAACAGCATATTTTAAGACAGTAAGTTATTTGTAGTTCTTTATTTTTTTGTTTTAAATTCCAAAATTACTTAATAATTTTTTTATTTTTTTTTAGTTGAAGCACTTCATGTTGTTTGTATCTTCTTTTGATAAAAACCAATTACGTTATCCCAAACAGGAGGCATGGTGGTACTGTGTCAACAATGCTTTGTTAAATGCCAGTTTCATATAACTCCAGTAATGTTTTCCAAATGTGTGAGACTGTAAAGTCAAAAGTAATCAGTTTTAAAAATGGATCTGCATTTATTAAAATCTATTTTTATTTATTTTTATAAAGATTCCTTTGTAAATGTGATCTTCTTTGTCTTTCTCTTGCAGAGGAGTCCACATCATGGTTGCTACACCTGGCCGTCTCATGGATATGTTAGACAAAAAAATGATCACATTGGATGTTTGCCGGTATCTGTGCATGGACGAAGCTGACAGAATGATCGATATGGGATTTGAGGAAGATGTGCGAACAATATTTTCTTATTTTAAGGTAGAGAATTTCTAAACTTTTCTGCTTTTCCCAAGATTTTTCTCCACAAAAAACATTGCTCTCTCTCTCTCTCTCTCTCTCTCTCCATTTTCTCTTTCTCTCAACAGTTTTCTTTCTTTCCTCACTTTGCCCTCTTTGTATTCATAAAGTCATTTGCTTTGCCAATTAAATTGACTGTTTATCTTTGAAATAAGTTGGAGCAGTGTTTACCAAAACTTTTTGAGCTGCCACCCTTCTTGGCTCACATCTTGGGTATGACGATAAACTACATCTGCATCCTGGGTAAGACAATAAACTACATCTGACAGGAGGTTTTGAGGAGTGTGGAACCATCTCTTAATTGCTGGTGTTCCAAGGTCCACCCTGACCCGGGGTGGTAGCACCTGTTAGGGTCCCAGCTATGAGCAAATAGTTAACCCTGAAACTGAGGTAAAAAGCATTATAAAAGTGTAAAAATAGGTTTTAATACCAGAAATACTTTGTAAAAAATTATTATCAGAAATAAGTTTTTAAAAAAAAAAAAAAAAAAAACTATTACGACCAATATATTTTTTAAAAAAATATTACCAGCAATACATTTTTGAAAAAAAAAAAAAAAATATTACCAGCAATACATGTTTTAAAATAATATTACCAGCTATATTTTTTTTGAGGAAAAAAATATTACCAGAAATAGATTTTTGACAAAACAAAATATTACCAGGGGGAAAAAAAAAAAGTCAGCATTAAATAACCCATTGAGGTTGATATGCCATAAAACACAACAAACCAAACCTTTTTGGCTCCTAGGCCGCATCCCTAGTACCCCTTTCCCACACCCATGTGAAATCACTTCTTTCTTGGTATTAGGTACATTACAGATTCAAAACAACAACTAATTTAACACTGTAAATATATACATGCATTTCACAAAAAAAGACAAATTAATCAAGTAGACTGATTTATTTATTACTTTTAATGTGATAGATTTACTTGATGCAGGGATATCAGTTTCTCGACATCAGGCTGGAAGATGGAGAAGTGTTCTTAGATTCAAGTTTTCAATAATTTTCTGATGAACATCCATGGCTATATCACAACACTGTAGACAGCAGTTGTCAGATCTGGTTGGTGTGTGGTGCATTCTGTTCACATAGCATCAACAAGGTATGAACAAACATTTATTTTAAGTTTGGACAATAAAATAAAACCACATGTTGCACTTATATTAATTTGATTCTTTGTAAAGCATCTATGTTCCTTAAGTATAAGTCATTTTTTTATTTTTATCATCATTACTCCAAGCAAATTGTGGCACCTTGCATTATTAGAAATATTCATAGAAATATGATTTAATTTTTTCTTACTCGGTTACTAAACAGGTTGTTAATTTTTTTTTTTTTTTAAACGGAAAATAACTGAGTTGAAAATAATTCACTAAGAGTGTACTAGACGATCCTAAGGAAAGAAGAAGGAAAGAAAGGAAAAGGAAGGAAGGAAAAAAAGAAAGAAAGAGAAATGTATGACGATGACCCAATTGAGGGTGGAGATAGGAGTCAGAAAGAGATTTAGGTCAGCGCCTTGGCCGATTTTGAAAGTCATTTTGGTAAGAATATCGGTCAGAGCACCTAGCCTACTTTTTGCATGGAAAGACACCTTATCAATTTGGATAAAGAGAAATTTTGGGAACAATGAAACAATTTTTAATCAGAGAAAAAGTGTCTTTGGGTTGAGGGGAGTGACCGTGGAACGATATACAGACCTGTTAAGAATTGGACACCCACGTTAATAAAGTAGAGACATTTCAATGTAGATAATTAAGATTTTCGACTATCAGGTAAAACAAAGAGGTAAAAAAGAGGGACAATTGCTTTTGGCTCAGAGGGCGCCAAGAAGGCGGAAAAGATCCTTTCTAAAGTCAAGACTAATTAGCAGCGGGCTGTTTGACAAAAGTCCAGGTGAGAGAAAGCCAAAGATTGTCATTTTGCGTACGTGCAAAAAGGGGCAAAATTGGATTTTGTTTTTTTTAAACAAGAACGATGTAACCACGCCCGCAAACAGAGGGGAGAGGATGTTCGATCAATAACAATTGGTCGAATACGATCACGTGACCTGCGGAAGAAAAGGGAAAGAAATGTTTGATCAATAACAATTGGTGAATACGATCACGTGACCTGCAGAAGAAAAGGGGAAAGAAATGCTCGATCAGGAACGATTGGTTGAAAAGCGGTCACCTGACATACGAGAGACTAAGAGAGATGGATATGCGCCGCCCCCACCAAAGGTACTGCGAGGAAGTAGGGGAAAACAATAGCGATAATGAGAAGACAGAATTAATGCAGTTTTGGAATTATCGAGAAAACCCTGACGCCGACAGACCCACCCCAGTTTGTTGCGCAAGGCCAATATAAGCAGGACCCCAGTCGACAGAAATCAGTTGAGTTGGAGTTGCAGTTGAGAGTTGGACCGCTGGTGGGGATAGAGCCTGAACGCGCCATCAGGCCCGATTCACTCGCCCTTTGCGGGCAGAAGAATCCTCAGACAAGAAATCCTTCCAGCCCAAGTCGAAGACAGGAGAACTTCCAGCCCAAGTAGACGAAGAAGAAGATTGCCTGAAAGCCTGAGAAGAATTGGAGATGCAGACAAAGCCCGAAAGTCGATGAGAAGTTAAAGTTCAGCCCGGACGGCAGTGAGAAGAGACCACCTCAGACGACAGAGAGTTGTGGCTAAGTTGAAACAAGAAATCTTCCACCAAGTTGAAACAGGAAAACTACCAGCCCAAGCAGACGAAGAAGAAGAAATACAACTCAAGTCGGAGAGAAGAATCAACTGCGAACGATCGATAGAAATTAGCCCCAGTGTCGAACTGAACCACACTCCGACATACATACATGATTCTAGAAAGTAGGTAGTTGACATTTTTCTATTGTGTGATAGAAGCTTGGTGCCATAGTCCACAGAGCGGTCGGGAAATGAGAACAATTTTGTTTTTATGTAACGGACTTTAAGATATAAAAGGTTGTTACCTTTTTTATCAGCAATTTTGTTTGGTGTCGGAGTTTTTATTTTATTTGTGTTTTGCCACCCCGCCGGACTCAACTTGTATCGGCCCCGATCCCTGCTGTCCCGTCTGTCTAAGATCTAAACACAGCGTGGGTAGACAGACCGAGATCGGTATAGTTGCTTTAGTGACCAGGTATTGAAGTAGTCGGAAAGGCGAGGCTGGTGATCATCTGACCAAAGGGTTGAGCGGCACGCTTGGACCCAGGAGGAGCGACCAGGAGGAGCGACGTCACCGTTAAGCGCCCGTAACCAAAGGATCCGACACTGGGCCAGGTGTGTAACCGTCACAAAAGTGATGAAGACACTAATACACAAAGAGGTTACTGAGTGTAAGAGAATATAAGAAAAAGAAAAGATTAAGAATGTACCAGGGTTGGGAGTGCATTAGAAAAGAAGATCTACTTCCAGGGCCTACTCACTCCTTGAAGGAACCCTTTCATGATTGACCATGTCTACACAGGTGTAGCCATACTCATCACACTTAGCTAATTGCAGGTTAGTGAGGCTGTTTAACCCATAGTTGTAAGTTTTGAATTTACAGTTGTCTTTCTCCTAGACTGGTTGCTATTCAAGTCTATAGGAAGCAGTCTGTCCTGCTATTTACCCTTAGCTGAGAAGAGAAGGGTATTTACATGTAAGTGAAGATAACTTGACTGGAATTTGAACTCTGCTCTCCGATACCTCAGTTCAAGCCACTATTCATTATTCCATTGTACCTTCATTTTTCATTATTAAGTGGAGAGAACAATAAAAGAAAAAGAATTAAAAAGATAGAAGATAACAATTGACATTGCAACTAAGATCAAGATTGACTGGAAAGCAAGAGGCTGGAAGAGAGTTCCATGAACAAGAAATGCAAGATTTTGTTATACAAATTTTGTTAAAAAAAAATAAAATTGTTTCTAATGCTACCCTACTACAACTTTTTTTTTTTTTACTTCCTCACTGCCCCCCCCAAACCAGGGAATCCCAGAATTAGAATAACAGAAATCTTAAACTGTAAATAACTCTGTGGTATAATATTGAATAACCTGAAGCAAAAAAACAGATAAACGTATCTAAAGTTTTGATTGTTAGCAAATGCATAGACAATTCCCTAATGTGGGTGCATGACTAAATGGTTAGAATGAGAGTGTTCTAAAAATAAAACTCTGCTTTAAGTCTCACCAAAAGGTCAGTTTGTTGGAGAAGTAATTTTTTGATCATATCAAAAGTTCTATGAAAGTTTTTCTGTCACTCAACTCTCTTCAGGAGACCCCACCACATTTTCTTTTATGGGACTAACAAGATATCTCTTGATAAATTTCTTTGTTCCTGAGTCCTCTTTTTGTGATAGTGCCCTAGGGTAATTGAATAAGATACCTTACAGGAAACCTTATTCTGCGATTTTTTTTTTTTTTTTTTTTTTTTACTCTGGTAGTAAATCTCCAAGACAATTCGTTGATAATGATGAAGGTAGTGAAAGCTAGGACAGTTGTAGTTAAAAACTGTGCAAACTTTACAGATAATGAGCTTTTAATGTTTTTTTTTTTTTTTTTTTTTTTCTCTCCAATATCATTCAAATAGAAACTATTGAGGATATTTGCCTGTATAAAGTTTATGTAAGGCAGTTCAGCTAAGAAAAATTTACCTCAAGCTTGGCAGTTGTCGTAGCTGGTCTCATGCCTGGTTTAAGAAATGTTTGGGCAATCAGTCCTGTAATGATAAAATCTATAATAATACTCCAGGATATAATCCCAATTATGGTTAATAAGAGGGTTAGTGCTAAGCCACCTGCACTCAAACTAACTGGGCGACAGCACTTGAAGAGAAAGAAATACAATCTGTACTATTTAAATATATTTAATATCTAAATAAAAAATGTTTGCAAACAATGTGTGTCTAAGAGAAAAGGTATCCAGGTATCTTGTCAGTAGCCCTTTTTGAAGAAGAAGTCCCCTTTAAGTCCTTGTCTAGCATCTTTCCCAGTGATGCTGATAGGTTTTTAATGTAGTGAGTCCCCGGATCCAACAGGTAGTAATTTGAGTGGGTTCCAACTAAAGTGTCTTCATAAATTGTGTTAAACTGCAGGGCTACAGACTAAGATTATTTTTTTTTTTTTACCACCATCCCAAAAAACAATTTTAATCATACCAAATCACTGAAATTGACAGAACAATTTTGTTTTTGTTTTTAAATGAAATTAATAAATTCAGTATGAAAATAGTATTTACACTTAATCATAATTCAATTAAGAAACTATTTTTTTGAAAATTAAGACAAAGTTTTTTTTTTGTTTTTTAAATTGACAGAACAAAAATGTTTTAAAATGAAATACAAAAATAAATAAAAAAAAAAACAAAAAAAAAAAACAAATTAAGAAAGTGTCTGGTAAGGTGGCATTGATGTCTGTGTTGCCACCCCCAGACCCCACTGACTAATAAAAGAAGGAATGAATAAGTGAAAGAAAGAAAGAAAGAACTAGTAATAAGTATTTGAAAGAATAACATCAAATAATTAATACTGTGTTTATTAAAATTACAAAAAATATTGGCTTCCCTACATTCTGTAGCAACCCATATAGGAACATTTCTTTTGTCTGAAGACATTTTTGGTGAACCCTGTTATATTGTTTGAACAGTCAACTAAGTTAAATACAAATGTCTCCACTTGTTAGTTAAAACATTTTGCACTCATAGTTTTACAAAGCATGTTAACAACAAAAATACAAAATTTAAAATAACTAAAATTTATTAAAAGTATTTTATTTGTTTTTTTTAATATTTCTTTTTCTTTCATATATTAATATTTTTTTTAATCTTTTTACCTGTCTTTTACAATTATAAAAAAAAGGCCCAAAGACAAACCCTTCTGTTTTCTGCAACAATGCCCAAGAAAATCCAGAACTTTGCCCGAAGTGCCTTGGTAAAGCCAGTTACAGTGAATGTTGGTCGAGCGGGGGCTGCAAATTTAGATGTTGTCCAGGAAGTGGAATATGTCAAACAAGAAGCAAAGGTTGTTTACCTGCTTGAGTGTCTTCAAAAGACAAGCCCACCAGTAAGTATTATCTCTTGAACGATTCTTGCATAGAACAGTCTTGAACTTTTCAGCCTTTTAAAAATTTGGCTTGGTGTTCTCTTTTCTTTTTTTTTTTTTTTTTTTTTTTTTTTTAAAAGAAGTATAGTAGAAAGATTTTTCTTTTTAAATTTTTGAATTAATATTGCCGAAAAATATAGAAAAATAAAGATCAAAATAATGGGTTTTGGTTGTTTTTTAAGTGAATTTTAAGGACAATATTTAGATATTTCTAAATATATTTATTCAACACCATGAACCATTTGTTTTTCAACTACCATTCACTATCTTTAAGGCAGCTTCATGATTCCATCCTCTTAGAACTTGGCATCTTTCTGAGTGATAAACCAGTCTAAATGGTTTTCACCAGAGAATTGAAGTTCTTCCTTTTAAGAGAATTTTACAGGACTCCAAATAAATGGTAACTCAAAAGATCTAGTAGGGCATTGTTATTATACATTTTTGATAATGGCTTTTTATCATCAAGTTGTTTTTTCACATTCTGTAATTGTTAAATAAACAGAATAAATTGAAAATAAAGAATTAACCTCTGATAGGATTGAACTTGCATCCCAAATCATTGGGAGTCTGCATGATAGGGACATTGTCACAGAAATTCATATACAAATATGATTCAAATTTTAAAATGTAGCTAAACTCTTCCTTACTTGATGTAATCCATGACATTATTTACTTGCATCTGGTTTTTGTTGTTGTTGTTGTAGTAGTAGATAAAAAGCAACAAAACAAAGAGATGAAAAAAGTCAATAATCTATTATTGTAAAACACATTGTGTTTTTATATATTCATCAGTTAGGTTAAACTATTCTGTCTTTCTTAGTAACACAATGTTTATTGATAATAGGAGGCATTACTCAATATCATTAAGCAAACATATCATTAGTAAGTAGGGAAAATCAGGCTGCCAATATTTCACTTTTTATTTCTTCTGTTTCATGTTATCTTTCTTAGGATATTAAAAAAGCAGAATTTGTTCTTAAAGCAATAATTAATTGCATATCTTTAATTATGCAAAAAATATAAGCAATACAATTGCAACATTAATTCAATATTGTCATTCTTTTATGGTATAAGTAAACATGTTAATAAATATTAATTAGGATAAACTTATTAAACCCCTCAACATTTGAGCTGTTAACTCACTCTCTGCATAAACATGAACAATTGTTGTGCCGGTTGAAAATTGTTGTTTTTTTTTTATAGCTTATTAACTTTTTGCATGTCATTTAAAGCCAGAAAACATTTTGGGATTGTAAAAAGCTTTTGGAGTTAATAATGATTTACTAATACTACTGTTTAACCCATAGCTTAGAGGGAAGAGGTGGATTCATACCTTTCCCAAGGATATTTGCACATAATTGAATATAACAAACCTGACTGGAATTGGAACTTGGCTCTCCAATTTCCAACTGCCAAGCTGTTATCCTTTACACCACCTGCACATCCGAGCTTACAGCACTTGGTATTCCCATGCGGTCACCCATTTAGGTACTAACTAGGCTTGACATTGCTTAACTTTGGTGAATGGACAAGAACTGGTATTTTAGTGTGATAAGGCAGTAAGCAGTTGAAAATTGAGATTTTACAGCAATAGATCATCTTGATATTGACCTCCAATTTCAGTTTAGGCAATTTCAATTAGAAATAGCATTTTTTTTTAATTCCTGTCAGTTAGCCAGAATCATTCTAAATGTTTTTATAAATAGCAACTATGAAATGTCTTTGGCAGTAGAAGCACAAATCTATTTTAAGAGAAGTAACATGGGCAATAAATCTGCCAGAAAAGTTAATCTGTGTCAAAAGACTGTGTGCATGTAAACATCTACAAGGTTTTTATTTTTATATTATGTTGGTTTTACTCCACATATAAATGAATGCAAAATACTTTCCTCTCTCCTTTTATAGGCAGAAGTACACAAATGCAGAAGTACACAAATGCAGACTGGGATTTTTTCCTAACCTAAAATAAGCCATTTCTTATTTTCATCTGACTCAGTTCCGCTCTGTCTTGTCTTGAAGTCAGAATGTTATGTTTGTCTGTCTGAACTTACTTTTGTGTTAACACCAATTCTTAGTTTGCAAACTTTTAGCCATATTACTGTTGCTTTGACTTTCATATATTGTTTGCTTGCTTGTAATTATTTTTTTGCCTTGTTCTTTTCTTGTTATTGCTTATTACAAACTTTGTCAATTCTGTTTGTTGGAGAGTTCTGTTAATTATTTTGCATTTTACAATGGCTACTCACTCCACAATTTGTTTTTAAAGGTTTTGGTGTTTGCGGAGAAGAAGCAAGATGTGGATGCCATTCACGAATATCTTCTCTTGAAAGGTGTAGAAGCAGTTGCAATCCATGGAGGCAAAGGTAGGATGCAATGGCTTATATAAAATCCAGAAAATAAATACATCTACCAAGGGGGGTGGGGGGTTTCTTTCTGAATTTCTGTGATAAGGAGTTATCATTACTTACAATTGGATGAATGTCTCCATCTTTACTGTTATTATCACAAAGTTTCAACCATTGCTCAGTCTATTTAAGGTGTCTCTCAATCTAGGTAATCTTCAGAGAATTTTGTCTTGGTTCATTTTCCTTTTAGTACTGCTCAATCATTGCTAGTCCTGTTACTACCGAACTTGAGTCCATCTGTGCAACCCGGCCTACTCAAAAAGCCCTTCCATAATCAGATTTTCATTTTTGGATCAAACTTTTCAGAACCCCATCCAATAATGTAGATGTGGACGAGATGAAAGAGAACATGGTGAAAGATGACTGTCAGATTGTTTTGAAAAGCGGGAAAAACTGCTAAGCTACATGCATGCACTTCCGATAGGAGTACTTTTAAGGTAGTTTTTTTTGTTTAAAAAATGGCTGGCTCAATTGTGGATATTACTTTAATGTTGTAACCTAAGAAAGGTTACTGAATAGAATAATGACACGAAGGTTGGTAATGAACGATAATACTTAGGACAAGAACAACACATAAAATTCGCCAGTTGCACATAGAAGAAGTAGTCAACTGCTAGAAATGAGTCAAGTGAATTCCATAATGAATCTCCAGCTGCAGACCAATGTACAGTATTTACTACTATATTTATGTGAATGGGGACATCAGCCTTGAGTATGACGATAAACTACACCTGGCAGCAAGGCCTCTGATCTGAAGATTAGGGTTTTGAGGAGCATGGAACCATCTCTTAACTGCTGTTGTTCCCAGGTCCACCTGAATGAGGGTGGTAGCACCTGTTAGGGTCCCAGCTATGGGCAAATAGTGAACCCCCAAACAAAACACTATGAAAATATAAAAATACTGGCAATACATTTTCATATAAAAAGAACTAGCAACAATGCGTATTTATAGTAGAATTAGCAACAATATATTTTATCTGTAGTTGAAGGCATACAATTACATTCAAAATATATTTAGTTGAAGGCATAAAATTGGGTTAAAAATATTTAGATTTCAGCATTAAATCAAAATAAATAACCCATAGAGGTTGATATGCTGCTAAATAAAATCAACCAAATAAAAATATAAAATTTTAATTGGTGCTCAAACAAAATCTTAAGCCATAATTATTATTTTCTAGAACCTTTTTATTTATTTTTGCTTTTGTAATTTCAGACCAAGAGGAAAGAACGCGTTCTGTGGAACAATTCCGAAATAGCCAAAAAGATGTTCTGGTTGCAACTGATGTTGCTTCAAAAGGTTTAGATTTTCCTGATATTCAGCATGTTATCAATTACGACATGCCAGAAGATATAGAGAATTATGGTGAGTTATCGAATGATTTTATTGTCAATGAAAGAACAAAATATGCCTGTCTTTTTTATAATTAGTTAATCTCATTTATCATGGATTTGTGAATGAAAAGAGAATTAAGCATTGAAGTTGTTTTTCTTAATAAGAAGCCAAATTTGGAGCAAGGCCATATTTTTGAAGCACTGAACAAGAATTGAATTCTTCATTCATAACTGATTGTTCCCTCATAATAAAAAAGAATTTAGTGTTTCATAATTTCCCTCCCTACCATTTTTGCATTTTAAGCATTTATTCAGCTTAACAAGGCCAAGAAGGTTGAAAACTCATTGAAAATCAAACTGACTACATTGCTAATAGTTTGCAAGAGTATTTTGTAGATTAAGCGTCCATAGAGTATTGCTGTTATATCTGATCCAGAGCTACCCAATCCTCGTTTTTCAGCCTAGATAAAATCCTTCTGCCATACTTCATCTTTACAAGATCCAGATCAAACCAAAAATGGAGTATTGCTGCCATATCTGGGCTAGAGCTGCCCATTCCTCACTTTCCCACCTTGATAAATAGTGTTCTGTGGCAGAGACATTGCTTTATCCAATGGTGATATTGTGTTCCTAGAATCTTAGTTGTAGTTTCCAAGCAACTGTTTTGTCAATGAGGCTCTTTTCCTTGAACATCTTATTGTGACTCAAATTAACTTTAAGCCTCAAGTGAAACTCGTATATATGATTCCTCGCCATAAAAAATTAACAAATGATTAGTCCCTTTTACCGCTCCAAAAAGTACCTGACTTCTACTCGGTTCTATTTTTACAAGAGATCAGACCGAAAATGGAGCATTGCTGCCATATCTGGGTTGGAGCTGACCAATTCCACCCTTGACATTTATTCGGTTTTGTGGGTTTCCCAGTTGGTTGGTTTCTTGGAATGAATATAGCAGAATCCAGATCAGATCAAAATGGGAGCATTGCTGCCATATTTGAGCTGGAGCTGCCCGATCCTTACTTTCCAGTCTTGATAAGAGTTCAAAAACATCTATGTAGCCTTGTGGGTGATAAAGTATTTTACACCTTAAAATCCCTTTTGTATAGGAAAAAAAAAAACATTGTAAACCTATCACTACTCTATTTCCATGGAAAATGCCCTGATGAACTACATTCTTTAATTCTACCAGTTCAGACCTTTATAGTTAAGGCCTGCCATGTCACACACACACACTGGGAGGAACCATTCTTATTCCCTTTTCTCGTCCACTGATAACAAGGATGTTCTACTCAATTTCCCCCCCCCCAAGAACTGCTATTTTGTAGAACAAATGCCCAAGAGAATGTGTCCCTAATCACTACAATCTACAAGTTTAAGGATTACCATTATATATCCTACATATCCTTATAATCTCCACTTCTTACATCATCCTCTTATATCCAAACAACCTAATTCAGTAAATCTCTACCTTGAGTAGCTCTTGAGTCTTGTATGGAATGAACATTGGTAACAAAAAAACATTAAAAGTATAGTGGCTTTTTATTTTGCAAATACTTTGATGCAATGTATTCAATAGCATGTCATAACAGAAAGACACAGCAATATTACACATAGCTAACTGAGGGCAGAGTACATGATCTGGTCATGTGATTTATCAACAGGTATAGGTGGCTTCAACCATAAAAAAATAAAAATGAACCGGATAGTTGCCATGGCTAGCAAGAGGAAATAAATCCATTTGAGAGAGATTGGTAAAACACACTCTCCTCTCTCAGTGTGGTCAGATAAAAAGTGGGTTCATTGTTAGACTGAAGAAGAAACTTTGTCTTTTGTTTAAACTCTCATTCTCTTTCCAACAAAGATTTGGATAGACTAAGAACTTTTAACTCTGATAGAACCCAGAGTTGTGTATTTTGAGACTCTCCCACTAAAATTGAACTTTCTAACCACAACAATAATTATATGACATTGGATGCTTTATCTTGCTCTGAAATAAACTCACCCACATTTGTGTCACAAAATAAAATGCAATCTGAACCATTTTCCTAAATTCATGATAAATCCATTGCAGTTAATTACGTCATAAATACATCGTACGGCGATTTCATTAGCTTCACAGCATTAAATTATTCCATCATGTTGAGACTAATAATATTCTCATATACATCTCTTTTAATGATAAGCCACAAGATTTCTTTTGGATTGATATCTGCAGAGGCTGTGGTCAAATCTATTAATTTGGTGCTGTTGACATTTATTTTTTGGTAAGATGGGCAATAGTCAGTTTTGCAGAATATGAAGCAGCATTCTCTTGCATGTATATATTCTTTAGCTTAAATCCTCTAGATTTTAACCTGTACAACTGAAAAAAATATTTTGTCCCAAGAACTTGTAATTCTCTGCATTAGTCAAAAACATTACTTCACCTTCATCCATTAAGTAGTGTTGGTTGACTGTTTCTATAGATCTATCCAATGTAGTTCTATATTCATCATTAAAAATTACTGTTCAGAATACAAGTTTCATGTAATTCAACTTAAATGTTTTTGTAAAATAAGGATTTTCTTATGGTTGTTTCACATATTTTAATAATTTAGTAAATGTTTATAAATTTCTAAGTAAAAAAAATTGTTTTCATATTTATTTCTTTATAAATTGGTAAATTATAAATACTGCACTACATTAGTTTTTAGAATGTTGTAAATAAACAATCTAATAAATAGTGTTCAATATTTTTGTTGTAAATTCTCAACAAAAATTGTTTAAATTCACTTTCATCATATTTAGGTTTTATTCAAATTCTAATCATTGCTTTTTAAAACAATAAACATTGTCGAAAAGTGAAGGTGGTTAAAATAATAGTGGTGTCAAGGGAAAAACTGTCCTTTTGACATTCTTATTGCGAGCACCTTTATCCATGTTTGCCAATGTTTCTCTTTACAAGGTTTACTTAAAGGTGGTATTTTGGCTAAAGACCTGAAAGCAATGTCCTTTAATATGTTGCATCTTTGCTATTTACATTAGAAACACTTGCTTCTTGATTTAGTTTCTTCTTGATCAATCCATTTTTTCTTTTTTTAATTTTTCTCAATTCTCTCTCTGTAATATTAAGACAAGAACAAGAAAATGGCTTTGACAAGGTTTTCAATTTCCTCTATTTTTTTTTTTATTTTACAATTTCCATACCTTCACTTTTGAGGTTATATCTTTCTTATAACCAATTCCAATTTATAATTGCTACATGATTTTATATTTATGCTCAATATGATGAGCATTTTAGTTACATAATAAAATTTCATATCGCTAAATAAGTATTTGCAAATATTTCTAAAATGTAACCTGAAATTCATGTGGTATATTTATCACATAGATTGTTTTTTTTTTGTGTGTGTGTGTGAAAACATTGACTTGTATAAAAAATAAATATTTGTAAATGTACACAAGTTTACACACATTTGTACTTGTCAGCTGATATGTCACCCAAGTGTTCATATCAGTTTTAAAAATGTCTCATCAAATTCTCATCCTTGCTAACAAAACAGCACACTATGCAGGAAGATTTTTTTTGTTCTCGGGCTGCTTTATTAATGTACCTAGAATGCAGACAAATGTTATGTTTGAGAAAGAATGAAGTGGTCCCTCTTGTCATCACCACGGGGTCCATAAATAAATGCAACCAAATCAACTTAATGATCATGTCTTAATACCATTATCTGTGGCTGCAATTTTCAATGAAAATATCTGATGAATTTAGATACACTTTCCTAAAATTAAATTAAAAATATTGAGAAATATGTGATTGAAGAGAAAGGGAGCTAACTGTTACTTTTGGATAATATAATTTTTTTTTTCCCCCCTCTCTATTATGGAATCTTATCAGTGGTAGGAAATATTGACAGAATTTAAAACATTCAGTTGGTTTAAGGATATATTTATTACTTCATCATGCTTTAAATATCTCATTTCAGTTCATCGTATTGGCCGTACAGGCAGACGTGGAAAAACTGGAATTGCTACAACATTTATTAATAAAACAGTTGGTAAGTCATCAATAATTTTTTTTTTTTTTTTAATTCATTTGTAAATATGGGAACCATACCTGAGATTTTCATGTACATTTTGATCAAGATTATATATATATATATATATATATATATATATATATATATATATATATATAATTAAAATAGTTTCCAGGTATGCTATATTTAAGGGTAAAAATTCTCAATATCAGAGATAGAGTGCATGTAAATATAAAAGTGGACACCATTCACCCCAACAGTCTGTTTCATGCTTAAATGCAATCTTCAGGCAATGTGTTGTGTCTTGGCTCTACTAATTATATATCTTGATCAGTGGTACAATAGTAAGATCTATTGTATTATCCTGATGGTTATTGGGTGGGCCCTAAGGATTCTTTTAGATTATTCTAGAAGCTATTAAATAGAAATAAATTTGTGAATCCAAATGAGGTTATTGGTTAACTTTTTTTTACTCATTATTTATTATTGAATACTTTAACCTTCATCCAGTTTTTTCTACTTTAGCAGTCATTTTATAGCTTTGCAGGGATCTTCTTTGCTTGAATATTGTTTCCCCATTCTCATATACATCTCTTTTAATGATAAGCCACAAGATTTCTTTTGGATTAATATCTGCAGAGGCTGTGGTCAAATCTATTAATTTGGTGCTGTTGACATTTATTTTGGTAAGATGGGCAATAGTCAGCTTTGCAGAATATGAAGCAGCATTCTCTTGCATGTATTATTTATTTGTTATTACATTTACTTGTTCATTTGTAGTTTAATTTTAGATTTTTTTTTTTTTATTATTTGGGGGAGGAGCTTGGTTATCTTAATTTGTTTACTTTAAAGTATTGGTTTTGTCTAAAGTAGGTTACAAATCTGAGTATGCATATATTTGCATATTTCGTGGTGGTATTTTACAAGTTTTTGATTTTTAAGTAACAGTAAAAGTGCAGACACAAAAACAAATTTTACTGTGTTATTTATATGGCCTGAAGATTGTGTTGCAACATGAAACAGATTGTTGCCACTTGATGTTGACCTCAGTTTCCACTTTATTTATTTTATATATAAATCCAGAAACAGCCTGTTTCACTGTATCACAGTTCATCAGTGTGGCTAGACATCTGATTGCTTCAAGCTGGGATTGAAACTTGACTGATTTGAAATCAGTTAGAGACTCTTACCCCTAGGCTATCGGTGCACAGCAGAGAAATGGAATTTTTTTTTAATGTATTGTATACTTGCTATATAAACGCCATACCCCTCAATTCTTTATATATATTTTAAAAGCAGAGATATCAATTTAAAATGGGAATAAATACTGCATTTGAAACAACCATGAATTTGATTACTATCAAGAAATGTTTGCTTCTAAAATCCATGCTACTTTCTTTACAACACAAATAATGCAGGATTTACGGTCAACATTAAGAAAATGGAGTTTATTTGCATTAATAGCAGCTACACCATCTACAAACCGAATTCTTTTCATGTTTGTCCCTTTCACACTAATGCACTTTGGAAAGGCATAAAGCCATTTCTCTTTGACAAGGGTAACAATCATGATCTACCACAATAGTTGACAGGTGAGGTTTTTGCTACCATAACGATATTGGTATGATTTATTGTTACTTCTTTTTAACCACAGTTCCCATGAAATATACTGCGCTCTTGCATAGAGGTGGAATGAAAGGAATAACAGAGATAAATACAGTAGACTTGTAATGGCCCATTGACAAATCTGTTTTCTTTTACACAAAACAAAATTTCCCAGATTTGTTTTTTCTTTAATCATCTGCCAGTGAAATAATTTATAATTTTTGTAAACAGAATCAATAAACTAAGGATAAATTAAATATGGCAAAGAAAAATTATTTGCAACAGCATTAAATTCAATTTAAAAAAAGAGTAATATTAGTCATAAGTTACTTGACCTTCTACAATGCCATCAACCAAAAAATTTCTATCCACAAGAATTTTATCAACTGAGACAATGTTTTTGAACTGAAATTGTCACTGCATGATGCTTTTTATTGTTAGGCTATGAATGTGCATATATAAGACTAAATCAGTTTTCTACTAATTTTTTTTTCTTCCTCTTCCTGACTTTCTCATCTTGATTAATGATTTTGTTTTCAGACAAATCTATTTTACTGGATTTGAAACACTTGCTGTTAGAGGCAAAACAAAAAGTCCCACCTTTCCTGGCAACGCTACAATCAGAGAGTGAGAAGTACCTGGACATTGGAGGTATTTTTTTTTTTTTTTCTTTTTCACATATACACACGTCATTTGCAATTGAATCTTTTCATATCATGTGTAAATCTGTAATAAGATTTTAAATGAAAATCCACTTTTAATACCATGGGATGCTTTTCAGAAAAAAAAACCCTGGTATAAACGTAGGATGGTTCTCTCCCACCCAACCAATCTTAATTTTTTTTTTTTTTTGTCTAAGGTTAACCATCTATCTTTCCTACATATCCTCATAATTTGCACTTGTTACCGCCATTTATACAACAATCTTACTCAGTAACCTACTTTGAACAGCCCTTGTATCAGGTGAACATTATTAAAAAAAACAAAAAGTATGTAGTTTGTTGCTCATGAGATGCCCTTACACTAAATATAATTCATAAGCAAAATTACACTGGTGTCTTGAGCCATTAATAAGCACAAGTAATAAGATAAATGATTAAAATGATGTAAAAACAACAATGAAGATTTAAGATAAATCTGATTAGTTAGTTCCCCACCTTTCCTTTCCTTTAACCAAAGGAAAAAAAAAAAATCACTACATTTCAAGTATTACTAATCATTTAAATCAATGATTTTCCTCTCTTATTTCAAGGTGAAATTGGTTGCTCTTATTGTGGAGGCCTTGGTCATCGTATTGCTGACTGCCCCAAATTGGAAGCTCTCCAAACAAAACAAGCACAAAACATTGGACGAAGGGACTATTTGGCGCATAATGCTGCAGATTGGTAACACCATAAAATTGTAAAATAAAATTTATACTTAAAATTAATTACAGACTTGATTTTATATATTTCATTTTTTTGTTTTTTTTAGCCTGTTATAAAAAAAAAAAAAAAAAAAAAATCCCTTTTTAAATTCTCCACACACACACTATATATATATATATATATAAATAAATAAATAAAATGAAAGAGAATTAGTCTTAGAATCGGAAAACTCCTGATGCTTGTATTGAAAGTTACTTTACTAGTATAAATAAGACTATTTCTAGCGCTGTCCTATAATACACCAGACAGAACTTATGGGACAGTAGTAATAAAATACCTTACAATAATTTAGGTTAGAATTTCTGAGATGAGGAACTATTATGTCTTTCAACTAGTGTAAATACTAATCTATTCACCTGATTTTTTATACATATTTTGCTGTTATATCCTTGAGACTTTTGGTGTCTGTTGTACTCAGTAACCTGGGAATTTTGAACTGAAGCTTTTATTTAATCCAAAGGGATAGATTGTTCTCTTGTATCAATTCTCTTGAGTCTATTTGCCTTTTTTTATTCCACCATTCCTGATCCAAGAATCATTAAACTACATTTTTTTTGGACAACTCAGTTGTAGAACCTTTAAGTGTCCTTTCTTAAAGGTTCCCCAGCTGTTCATCTATGACAACCACTTCATTTGTCTTAGCAGGGATGAATGAATTTTTTTTTTTTTTTTTTACACACACACACACACACACAAAATCATTGCTGGAAACATTTTTATCATCAAAATGTTTAAGAGGAAAGACCGAAGTTTGTTTTTTAAATCCTTTCTAGCACATTTGAAATTTTGGTTAAAAATCTTGTTTTTCTTGCATCAGCAGGTGAGCCAAAGTTTAGTATGGGTAATTTTAGTAATTTTTTTTTTTTTGTGTTAAAAACACTTGGAAATTCTTTAACTAAAATCCAACTTATTTGATTTTTTTTTTCAATTTTCAGAACTTCTTCACAAATGTTTTTTTTTTTTTTTTTTACATATTAAAGTAAATACATTTCAAGTCAGCTAATATTCCATACTTTCAGAAAAGTATATTTTATTTTTTAAGAGATTTTTTAAAACTGAGAACTTGTTTACAAATGTCTCAAAAATAGAAGACTTTGACGATGTTACGGAAAAATAAAATAAAAACTGATTTCAGTATAATTTCTATTTGAGATACACTAGAGTATTTTTGCCTACTGGAAATAGTAAATTTAATTCTGTACCTTTCAATTAAAGCTAAAATGAAAGCTTCAAGATTATTCATTTTTTTTTTAAATTATTTAAACCTTAGGTATTGTGATTTTTGTGGAGGTATCTAATTAAGGGGGGAGAGAAAATATCTAATAAACAGCTCGAAAGGTTGGAAATATATTTCTCAAAATATTTGATACATTCAGTTGATGGTCACAAAGGGAAAGAAAGAGGATGCAGTGAGCTTATTGTTTCATGAAGTTTGATAAGTAAACACTCAGAATTGGGAGGTTTCTCTCAGTCACAGGGGGTTAAGTTTTTTTCCTTCATATATGATCAGTCATGCTTCATTTCAATGTGTCTCTCTATACTGCAACTATTTAATGTTCCCTACACAAATCGTGCTTATATAGTCTCAAGTCAGAGGTTGCTGTTGAGTTGAACTGCTTTTTAATACAATCCTGATATTATATAAACCATAGATGGGAATCATTTCAGATGTATCACTCTCATGCCTGGTTGACAAGCCATGGTAGATTTTGTGATTGCTTTCCTTGGCTCTTCTAGTCCTGCTTGATGCTATACTTTTTAGGACAGTTGTTACATTGAAGTATTTCTCATGCTGATTATCAGTTCATCTGACTGGATCGTCACCTTATAGTTTGACTTAATGCAGGATTTCTTTGCAGATTCTGTATGGATGGTGAAAATCACCATTCACATAAATACGTTACACTGCACCGGACTAAGCTACATGGTTGGCTTCAGTGGTGACACTAGTATAACTACTTACTCCATAGTATTAGTCCCGTGGGAATAGGAGTAGTAGGTTTGTACATGGCTAGTGAGTACAAGACACCCAAATAAGACCAAGAATTACGAAAAACCAAAATTTTGAGAGCATATAATGTTCTTTCAATGTTTATTCTCATAAAGGTTAAAATCTTTTTTCTACCCCATTTGTCTTTTTATACTTGTGTGTACCACATACAAGTGCCAGTAGGGTAAAGTTATTTCATTACAACTCCACACACTCTACCCCCACTTTTTTTTTTTTAAATTCTCTTTGGTACAATTATTTTAGTGAGAAATCCCCCATAAGCTGAAGAAAGACGGGGGGGGGGTGATTCTACTAGCACAACATTTTATAGAAAAGAGCATTCAATCATTCCAACACAATTGGCTTTCTCATTCACATGAAAATTAGAAAAGAAAGTACTGAAAGTAAGAAAGGAAAATTATTTCATTTTTAACCTATTAAAATTTGTTTTAGGAGGGAACGATTTAAAACAAACATGAAAGTATATTATATTTCATTAGGTATTTAAAATTTTCTGAAAATGAAATAAATACCTTGATATTGAGTTCCTGAAGAATTAAATACTTTCAGAAACAAACATCACCACAATAGAGAAAGAAGAAAGCAAATTTTCTCCTTGCCTCCTGTTTAGAAATCAAAACAGACTTAAGCCACACAGAAATTTGTTTAATAAATGAAAACAATTTTTTTTTTTAAATCCTTGAATGCTAGACACAGGCTTTAACATTTAAGAGATTCTAAGTATTGGTTTTATCTAAGTAAGAATTTGTTATGCCTGTAAAATCTAAATGTTTCAAGTTTTTTTTTTTTTTGTTTCTTTTTTATTGAAATACTTTGGTTTATTCATTTTCGATTATTTTTTTTTTCTTCTTATTGCCTTTTTTTTTACAAATGTTCATATTTGTTTTAACATCCTAAAACCATTAAAGCAAGCAGTATAAATCAGAAAATTTATAAAATGTTAGCCTCGTGAAATTTTAAGTATTACTGTTTACCCTTGAGAGCCTGTCTGACGTGGCTATTATTGTATAAAAAAAAAAAAAGTGTCATTCAAACTTAGTCATAAGTATTACCTAAATTTTTTTTATTTTTACACTGACAGGTTTTTTTTTTGTTTTTTTACAATAAAACTAGTGTGAAAATGACAAAAAAGAAGGTGGAGGTGACGGATCTGGATTCGAAGACAGTACTTTATATAAAAAAGAATGGCTTGAGTTATCTCTCCATTTTTTAATGGCATTAAATATGTAATTTCAATGTGAGAACAAGGTTTTATATAAGTTGTTGCAGCACATGGTTTTTGTACCAGAAAATGAGGCCTGCTAATTGAGAGATTTTTTTTTGAGCAAGAAACTGACAGTTTGCCTTTTACTATTTATTTTGGTAATTAGCTTCACATAGCATGTACAAATAAATTCCTGAATGTCAGAAAATTTTCTACTTATTGTTGGGCAATAGAAGTCTCAAGAAAAGAGAAAGAATTTATTGTATTTAGTATTCAGCTTATATTAAGTGCCACTGTTTACATTTATCATTAGGCTTGTCAGTCTATAATAAGAAATCATACTTTTACTTGTATGTACGTGTGTGTGTATATATATATATATATACCCTATGATCATAATATTAAAACATGACTTTTTGTGCAGCCATTTCAAAACGTTTTTATTATAATCTCTTATAATAATATATTGATCTACTTTGTATTAAGCACTTTTAAAAGTAAATGCTACAAACTGGATTTTTTACTCTATCTGTTCTTTCTCTCATATACAAGATGACTCTTCCCACTTGTGCAAGAGGTTAGTATTCACATCAAAATACACATCTTTTGAATGTTGATTTTCCTATGTAGACACTTCCAAATCTGGGCTATGTACAGCACCATTAAGGAAGCCAAATTCTGCAGCAAAATCAAAAGGTGTGATGAACTACATTTGGAAGAATAAGAAATTGGCACTTTACATGGTCATTATTAAAAATTAGTTATATATCAGCAATATGCATAGACTAACAATCACTACTGAAACAGGGGAAGGGTATATCAGAATCTCAAACTTAATGAAGAAAAAAAATTAAGTGAGGAGCCTGTGATTAATTCTTCTAATTACTAATGTTCATGCCCAAGTGTTAATTTTGAAAATACAAATATTGATGGATTTAGAATCCTTTTGTATTTCACAGAAAATAGCTTTTTAAATTTGAATTTTAAAATTTTCAGTTAACCAAGGGATAATCCATAAGTATCAATTTATTAAACACCAGACAGTTAACATTACTACAAATTAAATCTAGTCTCAGACAAATATTTGTTTTAAAGAGCCATAATTTCAAGCTTAGGAGAGGCTGGAAATTAAAAAAAAAAAAAAAAAAAAATAGTAGATGGAGAGAGTAAGAGAAGATTTCTTTAGAATTTGCACATTCAGTTTTCTTTTGTCAGGACAAAACTCAATTTTGAATTTGGGCATGTTGTTGGCCCATTCTTCTTAATTTCATGTAACATTTTAAAATTTGGATCAGGTAATCAGTTTATATATAAAATTATAAATTTAAAAAAAAAAATTTGTCTCCTGACTCCCAATTAGTTTTTCTACATCTTCCAAAAGGTTATTCCCCCAAGAGAAATATGAAATATTAAAAAATTCTGTCCCTTTGTGGAAATTCTAACAAGCTTTCTTACTCCCTGCAAGCCTTGTTGTTTCACATAAAAAGTGGAGGAGAATTTAGTTATCAGTAAAGATTTTGCCTCCTCCCCTACACTTCTATCTTATTGATCACATGTTAAAAAATTAAAGACTGAAAAATTTGGCAGTTGTTTTAATCCTGGATATTGCCCATTCCAAATAACAATTTAATAAGTTGTCTTTCATTTAAAGTTAATTACTTAAAATAATTAACACACACAGGAGGAATGAGTTAAAAAAATTATAACTTTTTAAACCAAACATTTCTGAAGTAGAAAGAAAGAAACATGATAGTCTCACAAGATTAAAACATCAAAAGCAGATTTTTCGCCTTCTTTAAAAGATGATGCACACAATATTAGTGCTAAGCTTCAAAATATGCTAATTTAAAATATTTTCACCTTTACAAATTAAAAGCCAAATCACAAAGAAAAAATACTAACCACATCATAGGGAGAAGGGAGGGTAATAAGTTTAGTAACCTTGAAGATAAAAAAAAAAAAATTTTGTCAAAGTAAAGAAAACAATAAAGAAGAAGACAAAATAAAAAGATGTCAATGTTCCAATGGTAGAGATTGTTTGTCATTGTTAAAGAATGATAGGTGAATATTAATACGAGTAGAAGACATAAGCTGAATGGTCGACAGGTTCCAAGTGATTTAACACTATTGAATGAAGTCTTACTCTTAACAATGTGTGTTGTATTTTTGATCTCCAAATTGGCAAAGGCTGTAAAGAAAACTGAATGAAACAATACTGAGAGAAGATAAGTGGAGGGGAGGGAGAAAAAAAAAAAAAAAAAAAAAAAAAAAGAAAAAAAAAAAAAAAAGCCAAGAACAGGTCACACGAAAGCCAATCACTCAGATACTTAAGAAAAATTATTTTATTTGTGGTTGATTTTTTGAACTGTATTTAACTACAGCACAATCTTGAAGAACAAGCAGTGAGATTAGAGTTGGGCGGGCAGTAGGTAGGTTGGTACACAAGTAGCTAGTTTGATTTGTTTGGAGTTTTTTTTTTAAATTTTATTTTATTTTTAGATTTTTTTTGTGAATCTTTTCTTTTTGCTATGTTGCTGCTGCTGCTGCTGTCATCAGGCTGGGTGTCTGGCTGGTAGGGCGGCAACAGCACCAACACAAACAACAAAACATTTAAGAACAACAACAACAACACATGGTGTTAGTGACAGTTTTAGTTGTTGCGTTAAAGCGAGGGTCTGCCCCTGGTGATGGCGGCTGCTGCTGCTGCTGTCTACACCGGCTGAGCGGCTGCAGCTCAGATGAGGCACACATTGCACTATTTATGCTACAATCAACAGGACAGAAAGAAGGTAAAAAGAAGTGGGGGAGGGATTTCTTGCCTGAGTTTTTTTGTTTTTTTTTTCTTTGAAGAAAAAGATTAAAGAAAAGAGTAGAGCTATTTTTGTCACATTATTAAAAAAAAAAAAAAAAAAAAAAAAAAAAAAAAAAAAGACATTTTTTTTTTTTTTTTTTCGCTTTTAATAAAGAAGGTATTAAGATGAAGGTATATCTAAAGCAGAAAGAATGGGCAGAGGAATAATGTGGATATATGTTGAACAAGTGGCTTTTTTGTTGTTGGTAATCTTTTCGGTTTCCTTTTTTATTTTTTTTTTAAATTTCTTTCAAAGGTTAAATTTTCAAGGTTGGGGAGGGGGATGGGGGGTAGGAAAAACAATCACTTGGTCCATTTAAGTTGTTAACAAATGGTAAAGACATCACTCCCTGAAAATTACAGAGTAACCAGTAGAAACACATCCAGAATTTAATGATGTCAATGCCTGACTACCATCCCAGTTAACTTTTGAGGAATTTTGTTAAGTGTTAAGAAAGTGAATATTTTAAAAAATTTGTTGCCTGGAAGATAAATTATGTTACTCATTTATAATTCCAGATCCTAAATAAATGCCTAATATCAAAAATATGTGATCTTATTTATCAGCTAGGTTTAATAAAAGGAAAAAAAAAAAAAAAATCAAAATAAACTGAAAAAAGTTTTCATAAAGCATTTTCAGGGGAAAAAAATTACAAATTTTCTGATCATAAAGGAAAGACTGATTTCCCTCTTTCTTTGGTATATAAATAAAGAGATTTAAAAAAAAAAAAAAAAAATTACCACTACAATTTTGTAATGATACAAAATTCAATAGTGCTACATTTTATTTAGATTTTAAAAATTTATATATATATATATATATATATATATATATATATATATATATATATATATATATATATATATATATATATATATAATTCCACTATTAAAGAGAAATTTTTGGATTCACTGTCATAAAAAAAAATATAAAAGGCAATAAAAAAATTAAGACAAAGTTTTTCAGTAAGCGTAACTTGGATGGGGTTGGGTAAGAATTTACTTGCTTGGCTTAACCAAACGAAGTTAGAAATTCAAGAGACAGATATATATCACCTTAGCAAATCTATGGATGGATGGATTTATTCATGGTTGTAAGGGGCCTATAGTTTTTTTTTCTCTCTTCTCATATCTATCCTGCCCTTGAAACAACATTAGCACCTAGCAATGTTTTAACATTAACAATTGACAAGGTCAGATTTTTCTGGATTTGACATGACTAGAAATAACCACTTATTTGTCCAGAGAAATATATTATGTGTCAAGACGATTTGCAGATTGTTCTAACAATAAAATCTGTTAGACTCTGCACCACTGACCGCTATTTATTGCACCACTGACCTTATGTTAGCACTGTTTAAAATATTACATTGGAGAGGAGAGAAAAAAGAAAAGGTTTTACTGCTGCCATAATAGGAATAATAATGAAAAGTAGATGTTTAGTGGACATGTTTTCTAAGATTTTATGGTTCTCATTGGAATTTCAATTTATATAGGACATTTTTTTCTCTCTTATGGTTTATTTTTTTAAACCAATTTTAAAACCAAACCCCCAGAAAAAAAAAACGAGGGAAAGACTAGTCTCTATTGCTCTACGAAATTTTAAACCTATTGCATGTGTGAACAGATAAGTTATTAATTCACTGGCATTAAATCCTTTTATTATTATTATTATGAAGCTGAAAGATGACCTTATACAAAGTGCTTCCCAAACCCTGCAAATGTGGGAGGGAGGGGGACAGAAAAGGTTTGAGTGGGTAGGTAGTCAGGCAGAGAGAGAGAGAGGGAGATCCCAGTTATCATATTTTCTCTCTTTCATCAAACCATGTTCTTGCTAATACTGCTTAAGAGAACAATGACCAACAAGGGGCCCAGAACTAACAGCTTGCATATGACTTGAAAGCAGCCAGAACAAATCAGTGTGTGGGTGTTTATTTATATAAAGTTCTTTACATACACACACGCACACACGTATATGCACATACATGTGAATGTGTATATAATATACAAACATATATACATTTAACACATACACATGTATATATGACCATATGGTTAACATCAGATACCCACTCATGCATGCTCTCATGTGCACACAATATATACGCAGACACTCACATGACACACACATAGCTAGGGGGGGGGGAATAGAGCAACATGTGATGTGTCTTATAAACACACATATATGCACACATCTTGTATGTGTACCCATGTTTTGTGCTTATACACTCACATACACTGTGTGTGTGTGTGTGTGTGTGTGTGCACGCATGTGTGTGTGTGTGTGAAAGTAAGTGTAGATAAGTATGTGGGTTTGTGATTTGTCAACTCATACATGCATGTACTCATATGGACAGAATGCAGATTATAGTTGGAAAGAAATACAAGAAATTTCATGATTCTGGTGTTTTTGTTTTTCTCCATCTTTGATTTTTTTCCCCTTCAATATTGACTGCCTGATGATGACAAAAGCATATCAATTCCTGTAGCAGGTCAATTTGACGGACAATGTCGTCTTGTTGGCTGGCTGGCTTTTCAAATGTCTCAATTGGAAAAAAAGAGTCCTACTAAAAGAGCACTAGTTGCTAATCTTTACTCTGAAAAATATACAAATTATTAGTAGCAGCCACAGCCAGAATGTTTTCCAAAGGATGCCAGGCAGTATGCAGAATCTTTTTATTAAAGTCTAAACAGTCAACGTTTATCTCGTCTTTCTTACGTTTATTCCCAGTACCAACTTTCCTAGGTTTTAATATAGTCCTTGTTCGCATGTTTTCACGGCAAGCTTCCAATGTTATATCACGTTTTGTTTCTCTGTCGAACATGCGGAAGAAATTATTGTAAGAACCAGTCATGATGTACCTAGGGAAAAAGAACAGGAAAAATATATAGCAATTTGCTGTTTCTTTTTTATTTGGAAGGTAGGGAATAAGAAAAAAATAATCAAGAACCTGCAAATAGATTAAAGTGAAAGATTTAATGGTTTTGGTATACTTCTTAAAAGTGTCAGGAAAAACAAACACACAAGGAAAAACAAACACACACAAAAAGAAACAAACATAACTACCTGTTTTATGATTACAAGAGCTTTCACAATTTAACATGTATACTCTATATTCAAGCTACTATTTAAGGTATCACAGATTCATTAAAGTGACTAATTACATTACAGTTAAATCAAGACAGGGTAAATTAATACAAATCAATTAGTTGTAGTTTACAAGCATGCATGTGTAACTCTACTTTAAAATTATTTGAAATTTACAGAACACCTATGCATTCAGGTTAATCAAAAGGGACTGAATATAAGGAGAAAAAATCCTTAAGCCTCTTCTAATTTGATTATATAAAACATAAAAATCATTTAAATCAAAGCTTAAATGTGTTGATACTATTTCTCTGCAACTTGAAAATACTTTGTTTAATCAGAACACTGAAAATTATAACCAAAATCTGGAAGTCAATTTTCTTATCTACTAAACAAAAACTTCAAAGACAACAGACAAGTAAAAAACATTTTCAGTTATTACTGGAGTAATTGGATACTTAAGATTGATTTTAATATGTACAAGCTGAAATTGAACAAAATATTTAAACATTTGGCAAACACTTGAATTTATTAGTGTTTCTGTGAAATATTTTTCAAGCTGAAATTATTCCATTAAATGACTTATTAAATTAAAATTCCTTAAATTTCAAATGTCACTTTTTAAAGACTGTGTCAAAAGAGAAGAAAAGAAGTAGAGAGAGGATAGGAGGAGAGAGAGAGAGAGAGAGCAAAATGATGAAAAGGAGAAATAACCACAACATTAGACATATACGCAACTGTACACAAAAAGAGGGAGAAGAAAAAATACAACAAATAAACAAAACCTAACACCAATAACTAGCACATAAATTAATTACAAACTTAGCATAAAGATAACAAAAAAAATGAGAAAAACAGCAGTCAATTGCTGAAATCTCCTGATGAGTGGACTGAACGATTACAAAAATCTTTGTCTACAAAACTCTAATATAGGTGCCAAATATAACATCAGCTAAGTAACAAATTTTATATTTGTGTTAATTATATACCGTATATACTTGTGTAACGTGCAATCCCCAAATTTTCACATAAAATATTTTATGTATTTCATGCATCATGTGAGTTAATTTTTTGAGACCAAATTACAATAGACTAAAATCTTTTCCTCTATCTCTTTATCTCATCTTCTAGTTAAATACATTAAAAAAGTAAAAGAGAATGATAAAAGTATTGTTACTAATGCTATACTTATTGCGTAAACGCATACAATAAATAACCGAACAAAAAACAGTTAAACATCTTATAAAAATAAACAATGGAAAAGATGCATATTCGCTATGTCTGTATTTTATAATATGATACTAATATGTGAATATTACATGTATTGTTATTGGATACAGTTAAGTAAAACATCAGTTTTATCAAAATAATCTTTATTTTTAATACAGCTATTATTTTTTGACTACATTAAATGAATATATAGTTTGGTCAACGGCATAGCCACAGCCAACAGTACATATGCTAATTTTATATCTTGCATATGATCCAAGCCCTTTAAAATTAGGACTTCAAAAGTCTCATGATATGTATGTGAGTGAATATATATATATATAAAAAAACACAATATAAATTCCCTATGTTATTTAAGGAAAAGCAACAGTTTTACAGACAACTAATAATGGCAGCTGCATGAGAAAAAACAAAACAAATAAAAATAAAAAGATAACCAAAAAAAATGTTTATAACAGCATTTCAAAGTGAGTAGCTTAATCATCTTAAAAAAAAAAAAAAAAAAAAAAAACGAAAATTAAATTTATTCACAGTAAAGTTATCTGGAAAGCTAATTGCTATTAAAGCTATGATATATGGAAGACAAGAAAGTAAAATGTTGACAATTTAAAAACAAACTTGCCCATTTATATTGAGCAAATTTTGACTGTTGCCCACACAAAATAAATAGACATAAGAACAGAAATGTTCAGAAGAGAAAAACATTAAATTAGGAACAAACTTTATATATATATATATATATATATATATATATATATATATATATAATAATAATAAGCAGAGAGCTTACTTACCGATCACCTCCACTCCAAGCACATTCAAATTTATCAAATATACAGTCATTTTCATAGAGTGAGCAGAGCTTGCTGCGGAGGTATTCATGCACTTGATAAGTTTCAATAGGTCGGGAATCCATTTGCAGATCCCATACTTTCACAGAGAGGTAATCTCGGGTAATCATATATCGACCATTATGACTAAATTTGACATCTGATATACTGGAGATAATTTCTGAGAAGAAACTTCTATTTGTTGGATCTTCAGGTTCTTCAAACACTGGACAAAAAGAAAAATACGAGATTATCCATTGCAATCATTTTCAAATCTGATAGATAATCTATAGGAATATCAAAGTTGATATAGGAAGCGGTCATATTACCAATTTAATTCTATCAGGAATGAAAACTGCTTTTACATAAAACATGCACTTTCAAATGACGTCATTAATCTTTTGCTCTTTCCACAATAAATTTATAAGAAAAAAAAAAAGAAAAGTAAAATACAAAAATAATGAAAGCTTGTTTTCATTGCTGATAAAAATAAAACTATCTTAAAATAAATTTGACATTAAAATATTTCAAAGCACTTATCTCACAGCTAAAACTGTAAACATTCTGACAAGAACTTTTATATATGCCAAAAAACAAAGCAGCAAAGTTCTTGTATGTTAACAGAAAAAAAAAAAAAAAAAGTTAAGTATATTCATAAAATTTTGAAATTGTACATTTTTTTGGAGCATTGCTAGTTATCCCCCCTTGTTGCTTGTTTGTATGCAAAATAGAAAAACGGGGTGAGGTGAATCTTTAAAATCTAGCATTTTCCCCAGAGCAACATTAATGGTACTTTTCATAGCAAATTAATATTTTGACAATATTTTTATTTATTTATGATCATAAATACAAGTAAAGCATTTTTATATTCAAATATATGAAGTAAAAATGAAAAGATCTTATATTTGCACTACTTGATGAAAAGTTTAAATAGAAGAAAAAGGGTAGGTGTTATGCATTTCTATTCACAATTAGAAGAAAAAAAAATGATTAGAGTTTATGTTAGTCAATCTGGTACTACAAACAATGAGCAATTAAGTAAGCACACTGAAAAAGATAGTCACTTGCATTTAGTTATAAGCCTTTAAGTTGTAGCAAGGATCATCCTTCTTCGAACCTCATGAACTTCTGCTACAGAACTTTACCAAATAATAGAAACCATATCACTTGATAATTTTCAACAACAAAAATGGATATCATATGTAAGTCAAAGAGAAAATAATGGCAATCAAGATATTGATGTTCCATACTAGCTTAAACAAAAAAGTTAGGAAACTCCCATTAATTTTTGAAAGAGCAATAACAGCTACAGAACTTGAAAAACCTATTTCCCTGAAAAACTTTAAATAAAGATTTTATAAATTTCAACTGATAACAAAACTGGCTGCTCAGTGAATGCCAAATGTTTCCTTATAATAAGAAAACAGCTGATATTAATTACCATTAACAAAACAAGATAAATCAGCATTCTTCTGATTTTCACTTGGAGAAAGTCTGATCAAAACGTCTAGAAACGCCTTAAAAATTGCAGCAATTTTATGGCAGTTTTACTTACAACTTTGAATTTAGCCAAAATTAGTTTCTTGCAGATTAAAAAAAAAAAAAAAAAAAAGTTCAAAAATCTACTCACACTTGGCATGTCTGTCACAAAGAGCCTGGGCTCTCATATCACATAATCGAATAGTTCCTTTACTACTGCTATATACAAATAAACTGCATTCTGTTGGATGAAATTCTGCTGCAGTGATCACTTCTGTCAGTTCTTCCATGTTTGCAGGTTTAATATCCACAATATCTGGATGACAGATAAGGAACAAATAAAAAGACAAAGTAACTTTAAGATAACCACAAACAAAACCAGATGCAAGAGCCGTTGAAAATATCTCACTGAAAAGTTCTTTAGCAAACAAATAAGGACAGACATTCATTTATACTCCTTAAGTAGTAAAGCAGAAAATTTTAAGATTATCTTAACAATATATCCAATTGTAATATTGAAACATATACGCAGTTGCATTAGATTAAAATTAAAGGGAGACCTCTTAAATTACGTATGATTTATACTTTACCTTTTCATTTATAATTTATTTCTAAATATGAAAAAGCAGTCTCAATGAGGAACATTATACAAGTTGATTAAATCTTTGGTAAACATATTGGAAAGAACAATATGCTATAGATCAATTATACTGTATACATGAATAAAGAAAAGTTATTGGGGGATGGGCATAGTAAGATGATGATGATAACCTCACATCATACAAGCAAGATTTTCCTGCTAGCTTATGGTTTCAAAGTAAAAGCATCAGTAACAAAACACCAATGAATCAAGACACGCATCAAATTCATTTAAATATAAAATTTGTATGCAAATAAAACTTTAAAGTTTGATTAATTTAAGTATTTTTTTTAATAGTTGTAGGTTACCCTTCAAATATTTTCATCCTCCTAAAATCTTGTTTGATAAATCACTTGCTTTCCAGTGAATCCCCTTGAAGCTTTCAACCGCATGTTTAAAATATTAGCAAAATCTTTAAGAACAAAGCCATATTCTTTCACATGATGCAATGTCCTCATTAGTTTTTTCTTTAAAAAGAGACCTATGTCAGCATTTACCCAAGTAATATATTGGTAAAAAGTATTTAAAAAAAAAAAAAAAAAAAAAAAAAAAAAAAAAAAAAAAAGGATACTGAAGCTCTGATCAGTTACTTCTAAATGCCACAAATTGATTCTGAGGTCATCTGCTGATAAATAAGTTTCCTGATCACTGTTGACAGAGATCGAATTGATGTGATAAGTATGTGCATTTGCAAAAATACGACGCGGACTAGCTTCCACCAAAAGCTCCATGGGTTTGAATACTGGTACACGTAAAGCTGTAATGTTGGTTGAGTCCCTGGACAAGCCCTCTTCATCTTTTAAATTGTAACCTTCTGGTCGCTTGTCTCGTTCTGTTACTTTCCACAGCTTGATTGTTTTATCTGAAAAGAAATTTATTTTCATTCTATACTTATAGGGAAGAAAAAAAAAAAAAAACTATCTGCATAGCATTCCTACAAGAAAAGTCAAATACCCAGATAAAATCTTTCTTCTTGTTTAAATTAATGTTAAACTCCTAGCAAATCTGAATACAAGCTAAACAAAAAATGCTATATATATATATATATATATATATATATATATATATAAACCTTTCAGAAATATTCACAATGAATGAGAATTTTCTGGCCAAGTGGCCAACAAGTCATTTCTGCATTTAAAGTTATAATCAATCACTAGTAAATCTGTAAAATTGAAAAATCTCATTAAGTTAATCTCAAGAGACAGGTGAGAGAGATTTAAAAGAAGAAAAAAATGGTGACACGCAATACCTACCATTGGTAGAAAGTAAGAAATGAGCCGGATTTGTTCTCTTGAGCCATTTGATTTTATTTATTTTTTCCTCTATTTCAAGGCTTTTAAGATAATCAAACTCAGGTTCATGACTTTGGAAGGTGCTGTATACATTATATTCCCCACGAACTGGTACAGCTAATTGGCTCTGAAAGATAAACTAGTTTTATAATTTGAGAAGTTCTCTAAGGAGCAACAACAACAGAGATAGTTGTGATAGTAGCAGCAGCAGCAACAACAACATGACAAGTAGTTTGTATAAAACAATGTTATAACTCAACTAGGCTTCAGAACAAAATGCAAGTCTTATTTAAACAGAAACAACAGAAAAGAAATTTTAAATTTCAAATGAAACTATGACAGCAATATAGAAATTTCAACAATTTTAAAGCAAATGCTTTTTTCCCTATATTCAATAAATTCTTTTTATCACTAATTAGCTAATTGTCAAAAATACATTCCAGATGTTCAGTGGAAACTAGGATTTAAAAGAAAACAATGCAAATAAAAGCTACAAATGATGCAGTCTAATAAAAGTGAAACTAATTTTCAAAACAATTCAAACCAGTTTTGAGCTTAAGAAAAAGAAAGTAAAGCTTATTAGGTTAAAATAAATGCAAAGCAAACACCAGCAAAAGAGCAGGGTCTCAATATGTTCTTCATAGTGGTACAATCTTAAAACTGCTAAGATTAACTGGAACTTTCAGTAACCGTAGGAGGAAGAGGGTGTTGTTTCTGGCGAGGTAGTAACAGAGTAACATCGGGTAATGGAAATATCTGTAATACTAAATTCTAGGACTCACGTTCTGCGAGCGCGCTAAATTCAAACTTGGGGGGGAGCCCTCAATATCCGTGTCCTCATTGTCTGGTACGAGAGAAGCTGTTCCAGGGTCCGATTCTGCAATCATGGATTCTGAGTTGATAGCATCAATCTACGATGAAATATGGGAGTTTTTTGTTTGGCATTTTTTGTTATCAATTGGGAAAAAAAAAAAAAAAAAAAAAAAAATGGTCAAAAAATTTAAAAAAGAAAATTTTTTTTTTTTTTAATATGAAAATTTTGATTTCTGTTGAGTTGCAGTGAGTTGTGTAGACAGGGTCCATAAGGAAGTGTAGAAAGTGGCTCAACTTTGAGAAAAATAATCTACATTGGCATGGCATAGAGTAATTCAAACTATTTAGAAATAGTCAAGGTATTTGTTTTTACATTTTAAATTCTTTAAAATCATACTTTTAAAACATAGTTTAAGCAATGAATTAAAATTTTAATCTGACTAAAATTTCATCACCTAATGTCCGTTGTTAGAAAAGTTAACTGAAATCTATTGGGAAAGAGAATATATAGGACTGCTTTGATCGGACATCTGTACAATCTTTCTATTCAATTATCAGATGTAGGCTGAAAATCATTTAAAAAGATTCTTATTTAAATAAATTGAACTTTGAAGAAAAATAAAACAGAAGCTTAAATTATATTTGCAATTTTTCAAAATATCCAGAAATAAATGTAGCAAAGAAAATATTTTTTTTGTCTTATCCTCAAACTTCATTTAAAGTGACAATGAGGAGAGGAGATTAAATGCTTCAAGATGGTTGCTACCAATGAATCAATTTCACGTGACCTTTTCAAAAGTCAAACTTCTATAAGTTTGAAGGTTAAAATTCAAAATCTATTTTGACACAATATGACTATTATATAGCAATTGATGTGCCAAAAAAATATATCATAGCCCCAATACTAATCTGAATGTAAAGCCATTAAAACTTAATCAGCAAGAGAAGCCTGCAAAAATTGCTATATCTTCATTATTGCTTCCATATCAGAATAATTTAACACCTTTTTACTTCTTGTATTTATTAAAAAAAAAAAAAAAAAGTATTGATAAAGAGGAGAGGAAATTATGATTTTAGAGGAAACTATAATTTGTTCTTAGTCTCTGTTCCAAGTTCATATGGAAACATTTAAAGTATGCAGGATATCTAAGATTAGTTTTTAGATAGTAGAAGCCAATTCTAATAGCACTTTTATATCATTTAGACAAGTAACAATTGTTTTTCCAAAATATAAGATTAGTATGATGCTTTTCTACTTAAAAGTGACCATTTAAATATTTGCATAAGAATATGTATGAAGTGCGGGAGTTTTCATTATTTGTGCCAGTAACAATGTCCAAATGTTTCAGATTCATTTTTTTCAATACATAAACCAATCTCTTAATGCTATGCATGAGAAAAAAGTAACAAATGTATTGAATTACCTATTCACTTGCTTTTAGACTTAAAAAAAAAAAAAAAAAAAATTTTTTTTTTTTTAGATGCCATGCACAGACATTTTAGGTGATAAAACTCACTATCCAATGCATATATCAGAGAAAGTATGTGTAAAGTTCTCAGATTTATTAGCCAAGAAATCACTAAGGTCAGGCAGGAATGATAGATTATGCAACGATTGCCAATTTGTGCTAAGCAAATTTATAAAAAAAGATGCTTTCATAAGCTGAAAAATGTGTAAAATAATAACAGTGCAAGAAGAGTTTGTGAAACATGGACCACATAGCATCAATAACTCAAATTTGACACATCAAATTCTTTAGATATATGTATTAACTTTCAAACAATACTCTACAAAGTAGGTTGCCAAGTGTTTGAAATGTCAAACTAAAATAAAGAAAGTCCAAGCAACTCCAACTATCTGGGCATACCAGTTTATTAAAGATACTGACTTAATACACAGACCAGACTTCAATATTATTAACACTATTTTTTTTAGAGTACACACACAGTCTTGAAAATCATTTCTCTTAATTTTACTTTGTTTTTGCTTACCAAATGTTATAAAATGAACAGTAAGCTTATATAAATTAGTCAAATTTTTTTAGCAAAGCATCAGATCTCTCATGTGCTTTACATATATTTTAACTAAATTCTAGGGGTAAAATATTTCAAAACAAATTTCAAGTAAACATTTCCTTTTGCACAGTCCTCTTACAAAACCCTAACAAGTTTTGTTGAGCATATTTAAAATATTATTATGCTAAGTAATGATTTTTATTTTTTTTTTATTTATTTCTAAAACTTATATTTTTAAATTTTATTGACGAATAAAGACTAGCTAAAAATGTTAGTTAAAATTTTCAAATTGCCTATTCTGAAAAATAATAGTTTTCAAATTTTATACCAGTCATAGATGACATTAACCCCAGCTGAGAAATTTTTTTTTTGTTTTTTCCTCGTTCAATGATTCAATTTGCCATCCTGTTAAAAACATACTGCACATTTCATAGCTGCTCCTGTAATCATTTTCCTTGTATAAGCCATTATGGACAGTGTATTGTCAATTATAAATTAGTTGTAAAAGATCTTTGGTAGTCAGGAAAATAACGTGAAGATTAACAAGCACCAAGAAAGCAAAAAATTTGCAATAATCTACAAACAGTTACTAAGTGTTTCTTACAAGAAATGGAAAAGGAAAATTAAACTAAAATCTATTTTTCAGAATGTACAGTGATAAAGAAAGCTAGTAACAAGAGTCATGTACAACAGGATGCTGAAAAAATCTTGGTCAGATCAAGAAAATTTTTTTTTAAGAAATAGAAAAAGTTGAAATTGAAATTTTAAAATCTGATTATTTAGTCAGATTTAAAGAAGTGGGTCAGGCCACCCCCTCAAAAGATTATTAGCAGATTAAAGATTAAAAGAAAGTACTAGACGAAAAAAGAAAATTATGGAAAAATATTTAGTTTATCAGCACATAAAACTTATGAATTAGCTTTTATAAATATCACTGTATTTTTAAGAAAGTTGAAACTATTTCTAGCTATTGATTAAATTTTAAATTTCATTGTGGCTAGTTATGGAGGGAGAAAGGGTGGAATATTTCCAAAGGAAATCCTTTGATCTTAAGACTGATTAAAACTATCCAATAGCATAAAAATCTGATTAGAGGTACAAATTTTAATCATAGCAAAAAGAATGGGACATAATTAAAAGGGACCAAAAGGGGAAAAAACAACTACAGTAGTTTAATGTGAAAACAACAACAAAAAAAAAAAAAAAAAAAAAGAAAAAAAAGAGAACAACAGAATGAGCTAACCAGTTATTTCTCCAATGGACTTCTGATGAGTGATAACCGGTTAGTGCAATCTGTTTTTCTCTTATATATATATATATATATATATATATATATATATATATATAACCTTTTTGCATTAAACTATTTTTCCCCTTTTAATTATGTTTGTTCACTTTGCTATAATATTTACCAGCAATCTTAATTTTAAATATTCCGAATTTTTACTTATGAAGATGCTTTTTAAGGAAATGTTAGAAAATTACCAATAAATTTTAAATTTACTAGTTACCACTCTTATTTTCTAATATAGTGCATGGATGTCCATATTTACATAAATCAAAGTGCTTACCCACAGAAAATAAATTCATAATTCTTTTTAAAATACTGAGTGTTATTGAATTGTAGTGAGCTTTTCCCCCCATTTATCATTAGTAAATACAATTTTAATTTAATATCACTTGATAATTTAATATAGAATTTCAAAAGTTTATAAATTATTCTAAATTTAACAAAAAAAAATAAATAAGTAAGTGAAAACAATTCTTCACTGAAAAAATTTTTTTAAGATAATAGAGCCCATGATATATTTTACTTATAAAACAAAAGGTTTAATTAAATAATGCCTTAGTTTTATTGTATTTTCTGATTTGATGAAACAGATTTTGTTTGACAAAAAAAAAAAACAAAAAAAAAAAAAATTAATTTTTGAATAAGTTTCATTAGTTATGATTTTTGCAAAAATTTCTCAACCAATATATAAAAGGCACTGAAATTTCATGGTCCTGCATTGGCACCAGAAAAACAAGATTTTTAGCCAAAATTTCCAAAGTTCTTAAAATTGATGAAGAAAATAATATATTGTTATGTAATTTATTTTCATAACTGTCACACTAATTATTAATGAAAGTAAATAAAATGAAGAAATAAAAGAAATCTTTAAATTATCAAAGAGAAGAAACAAAATCTTTTCAGATAAAAAAAAAAAAAAAAAAAAAAAAAAAAAAAAAAAAAGATTAAATAAGAATTTGTTAACTGATGAAAAAATATCTAAAGTGCTATTGGATATTGACCTTGATTTCCATTCATACTCTAAGTTATCCACTTGTAATTTTGTTAAAACTATCAGGTCATCCCATAAGTTCTGTCCGAATTTTAACTTTTTGTTAAAATGAATGAAATTTAAAGAGTATGCTGAACATTATTTTTATGTTTAGATGCATTCAAACTGATCAAATTTTATTTCGGACAATAAAATTAAATTTTGTATGATTAAAACCCTGCTAACATGGAAGTACCCAAGAATCATTTGAGGCACTTTATGAGTTCAAGAAAAAAAACTCAGCAGCTGAAGCGGCTAGAAACATTCACTCAGTTTATGGAGAGGAATGTGCGAATGAAAGAACTTGCAGAAGATGGTTTGCAAAATTCAGAGGTGGAAATTCACCCTTGAAGATGAAGATCGAACCGGACATCCAGTTGAGTTTGATGAAAAGCTTCTTGAAGCAGCCCTTGAAGAAAATCCTGCTTTATCAGTTGAGGAATTGGCAGTGGTTCTCAGTTCAAACCAGACAATTGTTCATCGTTATCTTCAACAACTTGGAAAAGTTCTTAAACTTGGAAAATGGGAGCCTCATGAATTGTCTGAAAACAACCTCAAATCCCGAGTTGACATCTGCTCTTCTCTCCATTCTCGCCAACTTGTTTCACCTTTTTTGGATAGACTTGTGACAAAAAAATGGATCTTTTATCGAAATGTTAAGTGTCACAGTGGCTTGGTAAAGGGGAAAGACCCCAGCCACAGCTGAGAAAAGAACTTCACGGGCAAAAGGTTCTTCATTCAATCTGGTGGGATTGCCAAGG